ATAGTGGCACCCCACTCACCTCCTTCCATTTTTGGAAATGCTTCCTTATAAACACTTACTTCTATATATGACATGAATAATCAATTATAAGCTCAGAATGCACCCCAAATGGTTTTCTAACACACCTAGCATCATTTCTATTTTTTAAAATCAAAATTTCAATGAGGTAAATTGGATCTTTAGTTTGCTCAAAATTTCATATTTTTTTAGGCCCCAAATACAGCTTAGTTACTACGTTTGATAAATTATAGTAGAATTTATGGTATTGATGTAGTAATTTATGATTTTTTAGTTATTCAAAAGTATATATAAAACCTAAAAAAATATATTTTGTTTCATTTCCTCCATGTGCAAAATTTTTAAAGGCTTAGCAACTGAGTACAAAGGTTGTAGCTAGAAGAGATAATTGTTTGCTTTACTTTTTTATTTACTGTTCTATGTTTTAGGATAAATAACTTTAAGAATTTATTTCAGAATAACAATAATCTATATACATATATAATATATAATGATTGAAATGTAACTGTATTTTACAAAACACTAGTCGACTAAAACACAGCCAAGACAAGTAACTTTGTACAGACCAAAGGTCACATTTATGTTATTTGATACGGTAACATGAGTGTATGTGAGCCACGTTATTGTAATTTCTGTATTGTTAGCCAGGCATGGGTGAAAGGTCAATATAATAAAAATAATAAATATATATACATGTATAATGTTATGAGATTTAAGCTACTTCGTCTAAACATTTATGTTTTTGTGTTATAATTTGTGTTCATTCTAGAACGAAAGATGTTTAATTTATGTTTATTTCCTAATTTTTGTGGTAGTTGCGAGATCGGTCAAATTTACCGAACCCGTACAGAGATTAATTACTGAAAATAAAAGATAAAATATAAAGTTTTTTTCTTAAGAAATGTTTGATAACTATTTGGACATCATAAAGATTTTGTATGTGAAATTTCAAAATTTTCTGATGCATAAAAGTATTTTTAATGTTAAGATGAAAATTACTTTGCATGATAATATGCCAAGATGTGAAAAGAAAAAAAGGCATGACGGAAACGTTTTGCTTTACAAACCTTAAAACTTAATAAAAAAATTAGATATTTTGCATATGAAAGCATTGTAATGTTTACTGATAAACTGCCAAATTTCGTTAGCATTCGCTTTTTCATTTAAAAGTTATAGCATGAAAACTATAACAAGTACAAAATGGTTACGAGGTTGGTCCCAAGGACCGAGTCCGGATTGAAAGAGTTAACCCTATGATTACTGGGTACCTACATTTTTATGACCTACCATTGATATCATTATATTTGTTCAAAACTAGTGAATGAAATTGTTTGAAATTTGACAAGAACCTTCTTAAAAGTATTTAGTCCAGAAAAATAAAATATTTAATTTAGATTTTTTCTTCTATTTTTAATTTAAAATTTTTTATTGAATGTAGTTTTATGCACTTGGACTCTTGTCAGGTTTTTTATAGGTATGGATGGGCAAAATTTTTTTACAGTAGGTGTCTGTGACTTGTTGATGATAGA